TTTTCTTTCTTTTGCCAGCCCTGAGGCTTGAACTCAGGGCTTGGGTGTTGTCCCTGAGCCTCTCTGTGCTCAAAGCTAGCATTCTACTACTTGAGCGACAGTCCCACTTCTGACTTTTTCTGTTTATTTGGTACTGAGGAATCAAACCTGGGGCTTCATGCATGCGAGGCAAGCACTCTACCACTGAGCCACCTTCCCAGCCCCCTCCCCCCATCTTTATGTAGAGCTGAGAATCATCTTGAAGCTGTTAACTGACTGAAAAGATGTCTTCAGAATAACTCATGATCTAACATTTTCTCATAATTCTATATATTCTCTGCAGAGATTTTTTTAAACCATGAAATCTAAATATTTATGCATTTCCTGCAGAAAAAGATAGCTTACCCTTGATTTTACTTTAGATTCATAATTTTACTTATGAGAAAATGAAAGCTCAGAGAGATGAACCATCATAATACTCATCAGAAAGTGGCCTGGGATCCCACCTCGGGCTCCCCCTCCCCCCAGGCTGCCCCTCTCCCAGGCTGCCCTCCCCCAGGCTGCCCCTCCCCCCAGCTCCCTTAATGTTCAGTGCAATTTTTTAAAGGACAGTAAATGTTTAGAACATGCATGAGAGAAGCCGAGGATTCCTTAAGAATTTTAATTTCACTGAAAATCTAGTTCTTGAAAGTATTTTAAGCTTAAAATTCCTTTTTGACTGTATAGATAATCAGAAGGAGGTGTCCTCAGCTCTGTGTGTGTGTGGGGGGGGTTGGGTTAGGACTTGAACTCAGGGCCTAAGCTTTTTTTCCTCAAGATTGGTGCTCTACCACTTGAGCCACAGCTCTGCTTCTGGTATTTTGCTGGTTAATCAGAGATAAGACTCTTACAGACTTTCCTTCCCAGGCTGGCTTCAAACTGTGAACCTCAGAGCTCATCCTCGTGAGTAGCTAGAGTCACAGGTGTGAGCCACCAGGGCCCAGTGAGTCCGTAGTTCTTTGCAGTAGCTGGGGACGCCCTCGCAGCCACCCTTGGATTGCTCTAGTCCCCAAGTACCTGGTTCATAGAAAGATCACTCCCTCCCCTCCCCCCCCGGCCCCCTGCAATGGCATTGGCAGGCTGGTCCCTTCCTGTCACCTCCCCTGAAGGAGCCAGAGTCGAGGTGTCCTCTCTGCCCTACCTAGATCTAGAGTCCAGTGACTCCAGTGCCAGCCAGTACAGGGACAGAGGTGAGTCTCTCCCAGCTCCGGCTGCTGTGCTCACTTCCCACAGTCAGTGCTTCCGCTCCCTGAGAATCTCCAGATCTCTGGATGTGGCTGTCCCAGGGAGCAGACGCAGGGCCGTATCTCCTGGGATGTGTGGGTGCTGTCCTTTGTTCCCACCCAGCCACACTGCTGTGGACACTGCCATGCCATGCAGGTGGACCCTGGCCCGCTGGCCCTGCTGGTCTGCCCTCTTGGTGTCATGGACCGAGGGAAAGGTCAGTGGTAGATCCGGGGCTATCCTCTCTGCTGGACAGCCGCCTCCCCCAGACCCTCAGAAGCACCAAGCTCTGGCTCCCCACAGGTGACTCTGTGTCACCTGCCTACAAAAGCATCCGCCTTTCTCTTCCCCATCTTCCCACAAGTAGCAGGTGGATCTTCATTTATCTTCTGGTCCTGTTGGAAAAACTAACCCTCACTCCCAGCACTGGTCCTGACCCAGGACTCCTGCTCCATGTTTTTATAAAACCCATTATTTTCTTTCACCACACTGTCCCAGCTATAATTGTGTGGTAATTTAAGTCATTGCCTGTTTGCCTACAGCAGCTAGCAATTTCTCACTGCAGGAATTGTCTGTTCCATCCTCCGCTTGGGGCCTGGCGTAAGTGTCTCTCAGTAGATCTTCATAAGTAAGAGAGGAAAGTAGTGTTGGATTCATTGACTTCTTTCTGTCCCACATATGAAAAGGGGTCAGGTTTGGATATTATTCAAATCTTTTTGATATCTTGAGAGTATTTTTATTTTCGAAGAATGAAATACTTTATCTGAAACTATTTTGTTTACTTTTTTTCTTTCTACCAGTATTGAGGCTTGAACTCAGGGTCTGGGCACTGTCCCTTAGCTTTATTTGCTCAAGGTTTGGCACTCTACCCCTTATGCCACACTTCTACTTAGGGTATTTTGCTGGTTAATTGGAGATAAGAGTGTCATGAACTCTTCTTCTGCACCTGCTGGCTTTGAACTGAAATCCTCAGATCTCCACCTCCTGAGTAGCTAGAATTACAGGTGTGAGCCATTGGTTCCCCCAACTAGTTATATTAAATTCCTATTGCTAAAACACCAAATAAAATACAGTTGCATTAGGATAATAACATAGAATGTAATTTCTTTTTTCCAATAAAAATGCACTTTATTGCATCAAATGTTCAGCAAATATTTACTAAGTACCTGCAGAAAACATGACCCTCCTTATCTTCAAGGTGTTTTCCTTGGCACCATTTATAATCTAGCTGCCCATTTTTTCTTTCCTTCCTCTTGCATAATTGCCTTGGTTTTTCTCTGCCTGCTGGCCTGACTTTCTTTCTTCTATCCTTCCTCCCTTCCTTTTTTCCTCCCTTTCTCTTCCTGACTCCTTCCTTTCCTTCTTCCTTCCCTCTTCCCTCCCTCCCTCCTTCCTTCCCTTCTCTCTCTCTCTCTCTCTCACTTCCCCTCTTTTACCTTTTCCCTGTATTCCTCCTTTCTTCCCTTCCTCCCTCCTTTTCCATTCTATGTTTTATTTTAAGGATCCGATTGATTTACTTCCAGTAACATGGATAAAGGAACCATGAGCAGTTTAGGGGGAGTGGCCTTGGACTTAAGGCTGAGCCCCCAACACCTATCTGGTACAACACTAGGTAACAGGCTATGTACAGGCTGTGAGGATGGTTCTGAAAGCAGAAAATGAAGACCTGTTCTACCCTGCTGTTCTCTTTGTGCATTGATGGGGCATTGCGTATCATTGACTCTGACTCAGGGACAGTTGGCTTTGAACCCTTCATTTGCTGGCCATGAGGTGGCTGTGTGGAGATGCGTGTGGGAGTAGTCCTTATCATTCTCAGGACCCCAGGGGCCTGGTGGTTGCCCTGTGTGCTGTGACACTGCAGCTGGTCTCTCCTCATAGAGCTGTGGCGGAGCAGGGGGCAAGAATAATGATTCCTCTTCTCTGCCTTTACCTTCTTCAAAGTTCCAGAAGCTGCATGGAAAAAGTTTGTTAATTTCTGGTAAACTTTTTGTTCCCTAAAGCAACTGCTTTGCTCCACCTAGTGGATTAACGGGGGAAAGGCAGCGTGTAATGGCTGAGTTTTACCCTGGTGTTCCTGGAGAGCTTGCTTGGCCTAGCAGCTGGCCTATTAGACTGTCAAGTGATGATCCATGTTACTATTACAGAATGCATGCAGCCCAAGGGAACTTTTAATTATTGGATGGTGTTTAAGGGGACATCTTTCGGTGTACGTCTGAGAAAGTGTTTCTAGTAGCCTGAATGAAGGCTGCACATCAAATGTGGGATAATGAGAGAAGATAAATAAGCTAGGATTCTCCAGTTAGGCCCCTCTGCTCATTCTGCCCTACCCTAGCCCCTCTTTCCTGTCTCAGTCATGTAGGAAGTGATTTCCCAATCTTGAGTGTATGAGGGATTCAGGGGCCCCAACCCCCACCTGAGGCTTGAACTCAAGGTCTTATAATCTTGCTTCACTTTTTCACTTAAGGCTGGCACTCTACCACTTGAGCCACAGCTTTACTTCCAGCTTTTTGATGGTTAATTGGGGATAAGAGTCTCATGGACGTTCCTGCCTATGCTGGCTTCAAACCATCAACCTCAGGTCTCATCTTCTTGAGTAGCTAGGATTAGAAGTGTAAGCTATTAGTGCCCAGCTTTACCGTGTGTGTGTGTGTGTGTGTGTGTGTGTGTGTGTGTGTGTGTGTGTGTCTCCCTGGGGCTTGAACTTGGGGCCTGAATGCTGTCAGTCTCAGAGCTTGTTGTCCTCAAGCCTAGTACTCTACCATTTGAGTCACAGCTTCACTTCTGGCCTTTTACTGGAGATAAGGGTCACATAGACTTTACTGCTTATGCTGGCTTTAAACCATGGTCTTCAGTTCTCAGCCTCCTGAGTAACTAGGATTACAGGCGTGAGCCACCACCACTTTCATTTTTTACACTCAAATTAGTAGCATTTTTAAAGCTGGAAACAATCTTAGAAGGTAGACAGTCCATTCCTTTTAATTTTTTCATATGAAGAAAAACAAGGCACTGAGAGACTAAATTATTTGCTCCCACCTGTCTATAGTATGTATATGCCTATGTGTCTGCCTGTCTGTCTTTCTGTCTTGGGGCTTGAACTTAAGACCTGGACATTGTATTTTGGCTTTTTTGCTCAATGTACCACTTGAGTCCTAGCTCTGCTTGCAGTTTTTTTTGGTGGTTAATTGGAAATAAGAATCTCATGGACTTTTTTGCTGGGCTGCTTTCAAACTGATCCTCAGCTTTCAGCCACCTGAGTAGCTAGGATTACAGGTGTGAGCCAGTGGACCCTGGGTTGTAAATTCTTACTGAAGAAGAAACCTGCAGTGAACTTGAATGCAAGGTTAGCCTGCCAAGTGCATTTGCTTCACTTGCTCCTTGTTTTGGAATTATACAAGCATCTGTGTGCATGCATGTCCCCCTGCTGAAGTGGTAGAGAACATGTCTATAGTTCTCTGATCTTAATGCTCCTTTGGAAGCTGAAAAATAACAGAGATGTGGACAAGGCTTGTCACAAAATCTGGACTAGGACTTGAACTGGGTCTCCAGGTTTCCATCCAATAAATCCCTCTTATCTAGGAACATGTGGTGCATTAGTGTTTCTGCTACCTATGAAACCGACTGGGTGGAGTTTTTGAAACCCTGGGATTTGGTGAGGTTCTTCTTGTAGTCTTTAGGAGCAGAGCACATTTTGAGGTCTGCTCTGTTGCCTTGGCAGGAGAGTAATACATTTCTGTTTTTCTCTCTTCCCCTAACCCTAGCATATCAATAATGACCACATTCATGGGGAGAAGAAGGAGTTTGTATGTCGCTGGCTTGATTGCTCCAGGGAGCAGAAGCCCTTCAAAGCCCAGTACATGTTGGTCGTACATATGAGAAGACACACGGGAGAGAAGCCTCACAAATGCACTGTGAGTACACGGGTTCGAGGCCTACCTTCCTCATCCTGTCTGAGTTGTGTGCAGCAAAGGGCAGGTGTAGTTGGGAGAAATGGAGTATTACCTGGGGATAAATGCCTGCTTTTTGAGCTGCCTGGCTGGACAGGGCAGCTAGTAGAATGTCGAGCTGGCGGAAGGCCAGTGACCTCGGGATGGAGCTCACCCTGCAGGCTAACCCCAGCCCACAGCTCATTGTGTATGGGGACTCAGAACCTGAAAGAAGTGTAAGCCTCCGCCTTCACCTTCAGTTGACTTTTTAAAAAGTTAATCCCTGAAAAAACTGAGCATCCCTAGTGTACTGTTTTTTTTTAAACAGCAATCTAATTATTCACCTAATTTTTTTTATTGTGAAAATACCATACAGAGGGATTACAATTACATGGGCAAGATAACAAGTACATTTCTTATCAAACATTGTTGCCTCCTCCTTTGTTTTCCCTTCCCATCCCTTCCCATATGCCCCCCCGCCCCCCCTACCCTCTTCCACCCCCACCAAAGTTGTTAGGTTCGTTTTTCGACATAAGGATTTGTACATCCCATTGTTGCAATGAGTCCAGCTGTATCCCTATTTAAACAATTTGTTTTTTCCCTTCCCCTCCACATATTATGCCAACATCAAATACAGTGAAAGCAGGGGTTATACCGTGGGGGAGGGTCACCTAAATTTTAAAGATTGTCTTTAAGTAGTTGTACAAAGGAGATTGAATTCAACAAGTCAAATTATGAGTATGATACATCTTGAGCAATGTCACCTCTTCCCTCCCCTCCCGCATCTCCTCTAACCCCTTCCACCCCTTCAAAACCCCTGGTTCCATTTTCATGCATATAAATTGAAAATTATGACTGTATTCATCCCCCCTTCCTCTCTCCCATTAGCCTCCTACTACCACAAGTTCCAGCATCCTGGTATTCATTTTGTTAAACCTGAAGTTCGTTGTTTGTAGGAGTTACACCATTGCAATTTTCCCCTACGTATATATACCATACTTTAATCAAAAAACCACCACATCTGAAATGTTCTCAAATCTGATGCTTTCTGAGCCTGGCATAGTTTTAGAGTTTTTCTTGCTCCTCTCCTCAGTGCCTAGGGCAAATTGGGAGATCTGAGGAGGGAGAAATGGGCTGGGACTGCCTGAGGCTGAGCTTTCTCCCACCAGGGTATGAGGTACTGGCAAGGCCCTGGGTCAGGCCCTGGGTAACGCTCAGCCCCGGTGCTTTCCATCTTACACGCCCTTTACAAATGTGATCAGTTTCCTGGCTTTGTAGGGACACAAAGCTGAATGAATGAACTTGGCGCTAAATCTGAAATGAGTAGCAATTGGAGAAGATGAAGGAGCAGATAATGAAACCCATTGTCCACACCAGGGGGGTAGATGTTATGTATTTATTTATTTTAAAAAACCATCGAGCCTTCCAGACTTTGAAAAGCACTGAAAACACTTTTTCTTGAACTGCCTGGAGCCCCCTATCCAAATCCCCATTCTTGCAAAGTGTAGCGGAGCTTTTTTGTTCTATGGTTTTGAAAAGCTTCTGACCCTTGGAAAGTCAGGTTTTTGTCCACGTTGAGAAGGAGGAGGGCAGGGCCTGAAGGCCTCAGCTGCAAGTTGTAATTGTGTGGCTGTAATACAGATTTATTTACCTGTTGCTCTTAGTTTGAAGGTTGCACAAAGGCCTACTCGAGACTAGAAAACTTGAAAACACACTTGAGATCTCACACTGGAGAGAAACCGTATGTCTGCGAACACGAAGGCTGCAATAAAGCTTTCTCCAATGCCTCTGACCGAGCCAAGCACCAGAACAGAACACATTCCAATGAGGTAAGCCATCTCCGTGGGCCCAGAGCAAATGGGCCAAAGCCTTCATGGGAGTTTGGGACCACAGGCCTGTTCTGTTTGCTTTTCTCTTGGCTGTTTCCAGCCTCAATGGGCTCTCAGGCGGCTACCTCAAAAATAAGGCTGAAAACCGAGCCCCATTAAGATAAATCAGATGAAAAGGGAATTTCAGAAACTCCTGGTGAACTTAGTTTCCCATTACTTGATACTGCCACCTAGTGGTCAGACAGTAGGAATGCTTGGATTTTGGTCACTTGCTCTGTCCAGATTAATAGGAATCACTGCAAACAAATGATGAGCCTCTGAGCTCATCAGTTCAGAAACGACATCTTCACAGGCGGACATACACTGCTAAAGTAACACTATCTTTATGTGCTGATACTTGGACTTGAACTTAGGATCTTGTGCTTTTACTTAGCTTTCCCAGTTAGGATGGTGCTCCACCATTTGAGCCACACACAGCTCCATTTCTGGTCTTTTTTGCTGGTTAATTGGAGATAAGAGTCTCACAGACTTTCATGCTTTCACTGGCTTTGAACTGAAGTCTTCAGATCTCAGCCTCCTGAGCTGATAGGTGTGAGTCACTGGTACCCAGCTTATACAAAGCACTTTTTACTGCGTTCTCTACATGATATTTTCAAATACACTGTATTTAAGAGCACACTTTTGCAGAACAACCAGCAGTGGTTTAACAAATAAGAGGGCAGACATTCTAAATGCTGATAGCTTCTATCAGCATGGAAGTGATTCTCAGAAGCCCAGTGACTTCAGGTAAAATATAGTGGGTAGTGGATGGTTTGTGTGGTATGGCTGATATTTTCATTTGGCTCCTCTCTCTCAGCTTGTGGAAGTCAAGAATGACAATGATCCCAGATCCATATTGCTTAAGTATTGTTGTGCTTTTCTGACTGTAGACCTCCAGCATCTCTATGGAGATGTAGCTAAAATGCTAGCTCCTCTGTCAACCTCTTGACTGAAGGGAGAAATGTGGGAATAAGGCTCCCTGCCTTTGGGGTCACTATTTAGAATCTTTTGGCATAACACATAGTCCAACCCCAGGAAGAGTATCATCATTTTGCTTGCAATGCTTTAGGCAAGGAGTGGTTTGTACACAGACCTGGGTGTGGCTCTTATGATCTCAATCCATCGTGAGCTTGCAGATTTTCGGGGGTTGAGGGGGGAGAGAGCATCTGGAAGAAACCAAACAAGCCATGCTCCCCAGGGAGCATCTGGCTTCAAGAGCTTTGCTAAATTTTCTTCTTGCTCAACTGTTTTAGGGCAAAAACCACTTCTAGCTGAGTGCCTAGGGCTCACGCTTATAATCCCAGCTACTCAAGAGAGAGATCTGTTTGAGACTCACTGTACAAGGCCAGTCCAGGCAAAAACAATAGCAACAAAAAAGTCTGGGAGACTTATTAACAAAAATAGCAGAAGTGGAGGTGTGGCTCAAGTGATAAAGCACCATCCTTGAACAAAAAAATTTTAAAATCTCCAAAAATCCTAAGGAATAGTGTCTAGACCATGAGTGTTCAAGTTCGGGTACAGGCACCACAAAAAAAAACAACAACAAAAACACTTTGAACAGGATTAACCACACTTCCCAAAAAGCTCCTGCATACCACATGCAGCAGCTGCTCTTTGAAAAGGTTATGTTGGATTACGGAAGGACGTGTCCTGTATTGCTTAATATTGACCAGCTGTATGAAAACACTTTAGACAAGAGGATACATTCTGATTTCGTTTTGTGTTCTTCAAAAATGAATGTGCAATAGCTGTTACACTCGTTTTGTACAAAATACTAAGTTGTCATAAAGAAAACAAATCTACAGAGACAGAAGGCTTACTAGCCTTTGCTAGCATCTGGAAGCAGAGAGAACAGGGTGACTGCTGATGGAGATTGTAACAATGTGCAGGTGAGAACAGGAATGATTGCACAGCTCTGAGGAAGTAATGAGCCGGGCACTGGTAGCTCACACCTGTAGTCTTAGCTACACAAGGACCTGAGATCTGAGGTTCGTGGTTTGAAGCTAGCCCTGGCAGAAAAGTCCTTGAGACTCTTATCTCCAATTAACCACCAAAAAGTGGAAGTGGAGCTGTGGCTCAAGTGGTAGAGTGCCAGCCTTGAGTTGAATAAGCAAAACTACAGGAAAAAGCTCAGGTTTCAAGCTCCAGCCCTAGGACCGACACCAGCCTCACAGAAAAGAAAACCAGCATGTGGCCACCTGGCCCTGCTTGGGGTCCCTCTCTCTCCCCATTCCATCTAAGGCCCTGAGCAAGCACAGAGCCAGAGTCAGAACACTGAAAGGTAATGACAGTAACTGCTAGCCATTCTTCAGTCCCTAATGCCTAGGATTGGGCCCTCATTTCCTGGCATATGGATCTGTACATATATAGTGAATGACACTCACTCCTGAGTGGCCGTAATTTAGAGTTAATGGGAATCAGTTCTTCTACAAAGGAATCTCAAGTTTGGAGGTGAAGTCTCTTCAGGATAATTTTCACCGCCTTGGCTTTTCTGCATTAGGACATTTCATTGTGCCAGGTTGTGCACAGAGCCAAAGTCAGAACACTGAAAGCAGTTTTTAGACATAGATTCCATTGGATGTAATGGATGCATTATGGCCATTGCTTCCCTGAGAACTAGCTGGTCTTTAGCACATGCGAGCATCACGTGGCATGCTCATGAGGCTGTTTCCAGGGCCCCCAGGTACACCCAAATCCAAGCTTGCTCAGGTCCCTTATTTAAAACGGTGTAATAGTTAATACAGCCTTCTACGCCCTTTAAATACCTTGTAATATCTATCACCTCACCAGAATCGCACAGTGCAGTTCTGATTCGTTTTTAATACTTTGCATCTACTGTCGGTTCCTCAGAAAGAAAGGGCCAGTTTCTCTCATGCAAGGACCCAAGAAGGCTTTGTTTGAGGACAACATCATTAATGTGAATGATAAGTCATTATGCAGGCCAGCAGTTCCATGTCTCAGCTGCATGGTTAGCTGGGCACAGGGTGGGTGCAGGTAGAAGACAATCAGGAAGTCCTGAGTGGATCTGACAAGACAAGGTGGCTGAGGGCAGAGTCCTGGCTCCAGCCCGCCACCACCCCCACAGCTGGGCGTAGGGCTTCACGGCTTTGAAGGCTAGAGATGGGCTTCTTATTTCCCAAGCCCTGAGCATTTCCCTCACTGAGCTGTGGCAGACACCCAGAGAAGCACATTTTGAGTAGTCCTGAGAAAGGCCAGAAGCCATTTTCAGCCGTTGATTATACCTATGTGTGCATAGCACATTTCTCAAAGCAAAGAAGCGGGAGACACCTATAAGAAATCTCTTCTGATGATCTCCCCTGTGAGGTGTGGGGTATTCTCCTGATTAGGTGATGGGGGTCTTTTTAAGACATGTTCCTTCATCCCCACCACCACAGTCATCAATACCGTCATCACCACCACCTTCATCACCATCACCGTAATCACTACTTACATCCTCCCCCCGCCCCATCACCACCACCACATCCAAAAGGTGTTTGTATGTTGTACAGGTGCTTTAAAATGATTTAAACTGTAAATGAGCTGGCACTGGTGTCTCAGGCCTGTCATCCTAGCTACTCAGGAGCCTGAGATCTGAGGAGTATGGTTCAAAACCAGCCATAGCAGGGAAGTCTGTGAAACATTTATCTCCAATTGACCAGTAAAAAAAAAAAAAAAGCTGGAAGTGGAGCTTTGGCCCAAGTGGTAGAGCACCAGCCTTAAGCCAAAAAGCCAGGTTGAGAGCACACATACACACAATTAAAATGTAATAAGAAACCACAAAAAACCATGAGGCTGGGACACAATACCTTTATAACCCTCTATTGTGTCATTTTTGTGGCATTCGGCAGAAACCGTACGTGTGCAAAATCCCAGGATGTACGAAGCGCTACACAGACCCCAGCTCCCTCCGCAAACATGTGAAGACGGTGCATGGCCCTGAGGCTCATGTCACCAAGAAGCAGCGTGGGGACATGCACCCCCGGCCCCCACCTCCCAGAGACCCCGGCAGCCACTCCCAGGCCAGGTCCCCCGGCCGGCCTGCCCCCGGGGCCCTGGGGGAGCAGACGGAGCTGGGCATCGCTACCTCAAAGCGGGAAGAGGGTCTCCAGGTGAAGACTGTCAAAGCTGAGAAGCCCATGGTATGTCATTCCCTCTCCTGGTTTTTCCAGAATCATGTGGGGGTCATTGGAAAGGGCCGGGCGAGTCATGGAGGGGTGAAGGGGCAAGACAGTGAGCTTGAGCCCACGGATGGGAGACTGCAGTGTTGCATGAAGTTTGACCCCCAGCTTGGCTGAGACGTCTGTTCTGCTTGGAGCAATTCTGATCAGGAAAGAAGGAAACTAGAAGTTTCCTAGCTGCTTGTAAAAACTGACCCTGGATCACAAGAAAGATGTGATGGTCTCTCTTCAGAGTGCCACTGGGTTGAAAAATTATGCATCAAGTCTTTCTATAAACATACCTTTTCCCGTCTTCTTTGTTTGTGGGGCTTGAACTCAGGTCCTGGGTGGTGTCCTGAGCCTTTTTGCTTACTGCTAGTACTCTACCACTTTGAGCCACAGCGCCACTTCTAGGTGGTTTTTGTTTTTGTTTTTATTCTTGTGGTAGTTAATGGGAGATAAGAGTCTCACAGACTTTCCTGCCCAGGCTGGCTTTGAACTGCAATCCTCAGATCTCAGCCTGCTGAATAATTAGGATGACAGGTGTGAGCCATTGACACCTGGTCTGAAAACTTCTTACAAATAAACATTGTTAGGGTTTAGTGACATTCAGCATTTATGGCCAACATTATTCTTTGAATGGCTTCAGGTGATTTGAAAGTATTCTTGCAAACTTTATTGGGTAATTTTGCTTCATAAAACACCTAAAGATCAACAAGAAAAAAACAAGGGAACAGATAGTAATAGATTCAATCATATATATTTGGTATATATGTATATATATTGATACTAGTAGATTCAATTATATATATATATATATACATATATATATATACTAGTATATATATAGATACTAGTAGATTCAATCATATATATTTGGTATATATAAAATGGATGTGTGTGTATGTATGTATGTGTGTTTGTACACATGCACTGGTACCAGGGCTTGAACTCAGACACTTCAGTTCTTGTTTGGCTTTCTTGCACCTAGCAGGTGCTTTACCATGAGAGTCACACACCTCCAGTCCAGCATTTTATGATTATTCAGAGATGAAGTCCTATGGAGTTTTCCAGCCTGACTAGTCTAGAACCAAGATCCTCTTAGTCTCAGCCTCCTGATAACAACGATTATAGGCGTGAGCCACTGGCACTCAGCCTGTATAAAGGATTGAACGTTGCATGCATTCAGTCTAGTCCATTGCTCTGTCCTGGGCCTGAAATGCAACAGATGGAAGTCGCAGGCAAGGATTTCTGGGCACATGAGAACACTCAGCTTAAGGAAACACTTTCTTTAGCTTGGAGCAGTTCAACACCGAGGGCCTTGTATGAACCTATGCATAATTCACCATTCCACTGAATTCGTGCCCAGCAAATTGTGCCCTTCGCATCAGCAGGAGAGGAAGCTACATTTTAATGAAGTTTTTCTTTGAACGCTTGACATTAAGTCTAGCTAAAAGGAAGGCAAGTGGAGCTTCACAGGCTCTGTCCTTGTCTCTCAGTGTGTAGCTAACCATACTTTAAAAAAAAACAACTGGTGGTGGAGTTTGAACTCAGAGCCTTCTCAGCTGGCTTTCTTCGAATTTGAAGCTGTTATTTGGAGACAGAGCCTCAGGGTAGAAAGCTCAGGCTGAATTTGAACTATGATCTTCCAGATCTCGGCTTTGTAGTGCTAAGATTTGCAGGCGTGAGTCACCTTCACCTGGCTATGTATTTAGCTTTTATAAAGCTAAATATTTTTTAAAATATACAACATATTGAGCAAATAATACTATTGATCAGTATCTGTATACATGCATGCCAAACTTGGGACTTGAACTTAGGGCCTGGGTATGATCCCTTTTCTTATCAAGGCTAGCACTCTACCACTTGAGCCACATTTTTGGGGGGGGGGTCAGTTGTGAAGGACTTGACCTCAGGACCTGGGAACTGTTTCTGAGCCTCTTTATGCTCAAGACTAGCACTATACCACTTGAGCCACAGTGCCACTTCTGGTTTTTTGAGTGGTTAATTGGAGATAAGAATCTCACAGAGACTTTTCTGCCCAGGCTAGCTTTGAACGGTGATCCTCTGATCACAGCCTCTGAGTAGCTACGATTACAGGAATGAGCCACAGGTGCCCTGTGATCATTCTCATTTTTTAATTAGTCATTTCATAACCATGTTTTATGCATCTTTTTGAAGGTGAGCACATACCTGTTTCCTAAAATAAAGACCCCCTCCCCGTCCCAGTTTAATGACTATACAGAACCTCTAGCAGTGTATCTTCAGGTATTTAGGAAAATGGGCCTGTAGTGTACTGGGTCATGTGTCCTGACACTGAATTTTGTTCTAGGAACATTTTAAGAGAACAGAGCTTCCTCCTCCTCCTCCTCCTATTCCTTTTCTTTCCTGGTCCTGGGGCTTGAACTCAGGGCCTGGGTGCTATCCCTAAGCCTCTTTGAGCTCAAGGCTGGTGCTCTACCACTTGAGCTCCAGTACTTCCAGCTATTCTGAATAGTTTATTGGTGATAAGGAATCTCACAGACGTTCCTGCCTGGGCTGACTCTGAACCGCAATCCTCAGCTCCTGAGTAGCTAGGATTATAGGCATGAGCCACCAGTGCCCAGCTCTGGAGCTTCTTGTACCTGTAGCATGCACCTGCAGCTCAAGAAAACTTGTCCTGTTCTTTCCAAGCACCCAGTGCTTCTAAAGAAATTCAGTAGAGGGCTGGGAATGTGGCTTAGTGGTAGAGTGCTTGCCTAGCATGCATGAAGCCCTGGGTTCGATTCCTCAGTACCACAAAAACAGAAAAACTGGAAGTGGCGCTGTGGCTCAATGGTAACATGCTAGCCTTGAGCAAAAGAAGCTCAGGGACAGTGCTCAGGCCTGAGTTCAAGCCCCAGGACTAGCAAAAAAAAAAAAAAAGATTCAGTAAAAATAAAAATCTATAGCTGTTTGCCTCCGTGTATAAAATATTTTACAAAGCAAATCATACAAACACAGGACTAGAAGAGATCCCAGAGGAAAATAACTGCAGCACGGTCCCCCAGTAGTCTCATGGGCACACGTGTGTGTGTGTGTGTGTGCGTGCATGCATGCGTGTGCGTACGTGCGCACGATGTACACACACGTAAAATAAATAGATACCTTCATGGGAATTTACTAATGATCATAGGATTTGCATTTCTTTTACCCTTAATTTGGTCGTCCTGCTATAAATTAAATTCTTTCTTCTTCTTTTTTTCTTATGATTGCAACATCTCCCCGTCTAATGCTCCCTCCGTGTCCTGTTCTTACTTTCCAAGGACAGTGGGTAATAAGGTGAGGGGGTTTTGACGCACCTCTCTCTCTCTCTCTCTGTTTCTCTCTCTCATTTTCTTTGTATTTTCACATCCAGCTTTCTTGTCATATCACATCTTCCTTAGTCTGTGTGGGTCTGTGCTGTTGTCTTTGGTAGTGAATGTAAGTTGGCTGTGTTCGAGGAAGCACATGTTGAATCCCACCAGCATGTAGAAAAAGTAGCGTTAGGCCAAGGGTGAAATCCATTGTTGTGTTTGTCAAGGTTTTCAGGATAAACCAGACTGGGCTGGGTCAAGCAGATGCCTTCGAGTTTCCTCCCATGGCTCATGTCACTGCATTCTCAGACCACACAAGCATCTCCTTGTGTATGGGAAGGGAGATAACATTTGTGGTTTAAGTGGTTTAACCCCCTTTTAAATGTCTTGAGTGCTTGGCAGTGATTTTCTGATTTTAAATGTCCATGTCCTCCTTTAAAGTTCTATAGAACTGTACATCTGCCTACATGTGTGTGTGCATACATATACTTGTTTACCCAGATTCACCCCCACCTCCCACCCACACATACACGCACATTCTGATTTGGCCATCCAAGAGTGTAAGACGCCCTAAATTCTGCAAAGTCTAGGAAGCAGCTGGTGGCCTGGCAAATCCTGGCACAGACTTAAGCCCAGCTCCCCACGCTTGCCTTTCTGCAGTTTCCTTTGCTTTGATTGGTTTCCCTGATGACATTCGTGTAACTGGTAGCTCATTCATTGGATTCCTGTGCTGTGATCACAGATAAAGCACGATTCCTTCCTCAAAGAGGCTGAGCCTATGCTTCCCCTGGGCTGAGGAGGTGTGGTTCTCTACCCTGGAAACAGGCAACTTTAGATTCCCATCCGTTATATATATATATATTCCCAGTTTTGTAGGCAAGCTGGTCCACCCTCCAGTAGCCTCAGGGATCAGAGCTGGCTCAACCGTGAACTCACATCTTTGGGAAGTCACTGAACTTCCCTTAGAATCAGCTCTTTTCATCCTTAGGAAGAGGATTCAACTGTTCACGTCCCAGGACAGCACTGGTACTTGAGATGGCATAAAGCCTCTCTGCCAGCTCATGGCAGACCTGCTTGGACAGTGCTCACAGACACCAGGGTGGCAAGGCTTCCCTTCCTCTTCCCTTCCAGGCCCTCCCCTGCTGGAGATCCAGAGGCCTGGATTCAGCCTCCTCTTGCCAGGTTTTCTCACGCAGTCCCCTTGACTGTGGTGTGGTTAGCACTCTATATCCTTCAGCGCCCCAATCAACGCTCTTCCGTAGTAGGAGGAAGATACCGAGAAAGGAGTTGTTACCCAAAAGGCCTAGAGGGGCCTTGTCTGTCCCAGATTTACGTTCTAGCTGAACAAAATAAGCCCCGAAGACTAAATCACCCCATGACTAATACCTTAGGAGATGAGTCTACTCTGGTCTTATTACACTCAGGTGCCCTCCCTCCGGGCCTTTCATTTTCCCAACAAGATTCCTTAACATGAGTTGTTCCCGATGTTACGGATAAGGAAACAAGGCTGTGGTTGTCTAAATGAGTTCTCTAAAGGAGAAGGCCTTGGCAGTGGGGTTGGAAAGGAAGCATGTATGGGCTGAGCCAGCCTCGAGATCTCATGCTGACGACCCCTTGGGTAACATGTGCTGCCGTCCGCTGCCTACCACGCCACACCATCAGCCTGGTGGTCCATCGTCATTTTGGCATCAGAGCACACCCGCATCCTCTTTCTCATTCAACTCACTGGTGACCCGAAGGTCTCCATGTTCCCCAGCTGCCTTCGTGGTCGGCTCCCTTTCCTTTTCCTCTTTCTAATAACGTTCCTTTTCCTCTGGGTCCCTCCCCAACAGACATCTCAGCCAAGCCCTGGTGGTCAGTCTTCATGCAGCAGCCAGCAGTCCCCCGTCTGCAACTATCCCCTCAGTGGGCTCGAGCTTCCTCTGACCGACGGAGGCGGTGTAGCTGACCTCAGTAACCTGGACGAACCCCCGATCATGGACGCCACCATTACCACGGCCACCACTGCCCTGGCGTTGCAAGCCAGGAGAAACCCAGCAGGGACCAAATGGATGGAGCACGTAAAACTAGAAAGGCTGAAGCAAGTGAATGGAATGCTTCCACGACTGAACCCCGTCCCGCCGCCCAGAGGCCCTGCGGTCTCTCCTCTCACAGGAAATGGTGAGTTCACATCGTACACCCTGCACTGCACCCCGCGCCGCCCCCCATGTGACTGTCCAGTTGACTCTCTGTTCTTGCCAGTGGGCCCTGGCTGGGAGGCTGTCAGTGAGAGGGGCCGGGACCTTCTGGTGTGGCCTTGCTCAGTCTGAAGATTAGGTCTGAAGCCACTCGTAGTAATGCTGAGCCTGCATGAATTGCTTTTCTGGGGCTCATGTTTCCAAAAGAATGCGATAATGGGATTGTACTATAACTGAAGTTAGCGTGTGGGTGGTTCATTCTGATGGAGAAGTCCTAAGTCTAGGGAAGCACCAGCCTCTAAGTTCCAGAAATCTGAAGCCGAGAGCTTAGTGGCCAATTGGAGGGAGAGGGGTACTGCTCTTTTTTATTTTTTTTAAGGGGGTTGGGGCAGTATTTGGGTTTGAACTTAGGCCTTGTGCCTGCTAAGCTGGTACGGTTCCACTAAGCTACCCCTCTTCCAGCCACCCCCCTATTTTTCCCATGGCTCCTATTTTGAGATTGGGTTTTGCTCCCTCCAGGGGGCTCTCCTGGACTGTGGTCCTAATGTTTTGCGACCTGCCGTAGCTGGGGTGACAGGTACACACCTAACTTCTTGCATCGAGATGGAGTCTCATGGACTTTTTTTTTTACCCAGCTGCCACAGAATCTTAATCTTCTCAATCTCAGCCTCCCCACGTAGCTAGGATGGCAGGCACATGTCAGCATACCCAGCGCTTAGCTGAGAAGACTCTCCTGTATGCCTGGGCTTGCCTTGGGGTGCAGTCCTCCTGATTCTCAGCCTTGGGGTCGTTCAGGTGACAGGAATGAGTCACTGGTTCCTGGCAGCAGCCACTTCTTTTTTTTTTTTTTTGTCGGTCGTGGGGCCTGAACTCTGGGCCTGGGCACTGTCCCTGTGCTCTTCAGCTCAAGGCTAGCACTGTACCTCTTGAGCCACAGCACCACTTCCGGTTTTCTTGCGGTTTATTGGAGATAAGAGTCTCTCGGACTTTTCTGCCCGGGCTGGCTTTGAACCGTCATCCTCAGATCTCAGCCTCCTGCGTAGCGAGGATCACAGGCGTGAGCAACCGGCGCCCAGGGCCACTTCTTTTTATGTGTACCCAGGACAGCAAACCTCCTTTCCCATGGTGAGCCCCAAGTCAAGTCAGGGCTTGCTTCAGAGCCAGCATGGAGCACCTGCAGCACACCTCTCCTCTCCAGCAGCTAAGGATGCAAAATGAACCCTAGCATAGAATGGAACATCCCCTGGACACTAAAGCCTTGGGCTTGGCCTCTTCCTTCCTTTCTTCCTTCCTTCCTTCCCTCCTTTCTTCTTTCCTTCCTTTCTCTCTCTTTTTCTCTTACTCTCTCCCCTCTTTCGTTTCTTTCCTTCCTTCCCTTCCTCCCATCCTTTCTGTCTCTTTTTTCTCATTCTCTTTCTCTCCCACTCTCCCTCCCCCCATTCCCACCTTCCTTTCTTTTTGTACTTTAATGGGACTTCAACTTGGACTCAGGAACTCATGTTCTTGCTCGACTTTTCCTGCTCAAGGCTGGTGCTCTACCACTTAAACCACTAGCTTTTTGCTAGTTAATTGAAGAAAAGAATTTCACAGATTTGTCTGCCCAGGCTGGTTTCAAACCAGGACCCTCAGATCTCAGCCTCCCCAGCGGCTAGGATTACAGGTGTGAGCCACTAATGTCTGGCTTGGCTTTGTTTGAATTGGAGCCTGGGATCCATCTGTAGCCTTCTCCCTGAATGTGTGTGTACGTGCCAGTCCTGGGATTTGAACTCAGGGTCTGAGTGCTCAAGGCCAGAGTTCTACCCCTTGAGCCACAGCTCCACTTTTGGCTTTTTGGGTAGTTAATTGGAGGTAAGAGTCTCACAGACTTTCCTACCTGGGCTGGCTTTGAACTTCCATCCTCAGATCTCAGCCTTCTAAGTAGCTAGAATTACAGGTGTGAGCCACTGGCACCCAACTGCCCTTTGCTAGGGACCTGGAGATGGGGGGGAGGGGATCTTCCTCTAAGGCTGTGTGGACAAAGTTAGTGGGAGACCCTGCTTGGAAAAACAAAATAAAAACCTAAACGAATTGAGGGTGTAGCTCAAGTGTTAGAGTAGTTGCTTGGCAGATAGGAAACCGGGGTCCACTTCGTTCATTGCACCAGAGAGCCCCGAGGTTCAGGAAGCTCCTGTTTGGCCCGGATGGTTCCCACCCTGGCGTCGGGCATCGTCTGGTCACACCCTTTGTCTCCCTCCCGCAGGCACACAGTCCAGTACCACCTGCACTTCGGGCGGGCCGGTGACTCTGCTCCCGGCCCGGAGCGACCTCTCCGGGGTGGACCTCACCATGCTGAGCCTGGTCAGCAGGAGGGACAGCAGTGCCAGCACGGTCAGCTCGGCCTACCTGAGCAGCCGCCGCTCCTCGGGCATCTCCCCCTGCTTCTCCAGCCGCCGCTCCAGCGAGGCGTCCCAGGCTGAGGCCCGGCCCCAGAACGTCAGCGTGGCCGACTCCTACGACCCCATTTCCACCGATGCCTCGCGGAGGTCCAGCGAGGCCAGCCAGGGCGACGGGCTGCCCAGCCTGCTCAGCCTCACCCCGGCGCAGCAGTACCGTCTCAAGGCCAAGTACGCGGCGGCCACGGGCGGCCCGCCGCCCACACCCCTGCCGCACATGGAGCGGCTGAGCCTGAAGACCAGGCTGGCCCTGCTGGGGGACGGCCGG